AAAAAGTTGAGTTTATCCCATTTTTGAGTCAGGAAATGGGCTCTGCATGCAGGGGCTGGGCCGGTTCTGAGCCCAGATTTTGGGGTGGGAACTTTCCTACAGCAAATTGGACCCCCCCTCCCCCCGCCCGCAAGGTAGTGCAATCGATAAGGAAGGAACCTCTCCCGCGCTTTCCGGCATGAGTTTCTCCCTAAATCTTCTTTTCCTGCACGGAAGAACCTGGAAATGCACGACCGCATGGAACACCTGATCGAAAAGCAGGCCAACCCTGGGACCTTCAGCCGCACCCGTTCCAAGTCGGAGACGGTCAGCAGGTGAGCCATCGGGCCTGGGGCGAGTGCGAAGGTCGCCGTTGTACGCACACGGTGCCCTTGTTTGGACCAGTCTGGGGGTTTCTGCTTGGTGAACGGGAGGGACCTCCTAGCTCCGTGAGTTGACTTTTGGCTGCTTCTGCTGCAGGCGTTTCATGACCCAGCTAGGTAACCTCATCAGGACGATGGGGGGGTAGGGTTGGCTGCCTAGGCAAGAGAATCACAGCCAGCAAACCTCACTCTTCCTTGCACTGATGTGGTTACCTAGCTGGGTCATGAAACGTTTCAGGAAAACAAGCTCAGAGGGCACCAGAGCTCTCGGAGACCCACTTGCGTTTCTACGATGGCTTTTTTTCTATCTTCTTCCCCTCCTCCTTCCCTCTCTTCTCATCTTCCCCTTCTTCCCTCCCTCCCTCCCTCCCTCTTTCTTTTCTTCCTCGCTTTGCCCTTCCTTTCTTCCTCCTTCTCTCCTTTCCCTTCCTCTCTCCCTGCCTTTCTCCAATCCTTCCTTCCCTCCCTCCCATTCTCTCCTTTTCTTTCCTTCCTTTCTCCAATTCTCCTCCTTTGTTTCCTCTTCCTCTCCTTCTCCCTCCCTCCCCCTTTCAAATTCCCTCCCTCCCTCCCTGCCCTTTTCCAATTCTTCCTCCCCTTCTCTCCTTTTTCTCCCTCCCTCCCTTCTTTTCTTTTTTTCTTCTCCTTGCCCTTCCTTTCTTCCTCCCTCTCTCCTTTCCCTCCCTCTCTCCGTGCCTTTCTCCAATCCTTCTTTTCTTTCCTTCCTCCCTTTCTCCAATTCTCCTACCTTGTTTCCTCCCTTCCTCTCCTTCTCCCTCCCTCCCTCTTTCAAATCCCCCCCCTCCCTGCCCTTCTCTAATTCTCCTTCCTCTCCCCTTCTCTCCTTTTTCTTCCTTCCTCCTTCCCCTTTCCAATCCTCCCTTCATTTCTCTTTTCATTTCTTTTTCCCTCCAGCAAAAGGTTCACCAAGCCCCTGGGACCGAAACCTTTGCCCCTGATCCGAGTCTTGGAGACATGAATGGGATTTGTGACTCCGCCTGGGGAAGTTGGTGCCCACTGCAGACCCGCTGGACGTCGGCTGCTGCCTCTTCTTCGCCGCTTCGTCTACCCCAAGTTCCTCACCCCCCCCCTCCTGTGCCAAGGGAGGGCATTGGCACGAGCAGGAAGACCCTAAAAGCTGTGGGTTTTAATTGCATTGAGGCAGAGGAGGAGGAGGAAACGCTTGACTGCAGAAGGAAAATGGAGCGAGCGGATAGTGGATTCACTTTGGAAAAAGGACGATGCTTTTTAAGCTTCCCAACCCAGTTTCAGAGCTTTGGTTCTCCTGCAAACTTATTTTGGGGTTGAGAGAGGGAGGAGAGAAGGGGCTCTTCCAGTGAATAAAGCTTAATTCAAAATAAATAACTTTTCTTCTCCTTTGCCTTCTGAGCGAGGCGCTTCCCACTGTCTCCTCTTCACCGTGGAGAAACCCTTGAGTCCCTCCCATTATTTTAAAACCCATTTCAACCCTCGTTCCCCAAAATTAAAAACAAAACCAAGCCGGAGATCCCTGTTTGCTCCGAGAGA